ATTTTAACTGTGATATTTATCACATATTACAAAATAGTAGTAGGTTGAAAGAAGAGAAATTAATTTAAATTTTTATTTAATATTTATAGTCAAACTGAATTTTTCAACATTTTAAGTAGATGTATTTCAGATTTATTTCGAAAAAAAACATTTACATCTTGAATAGTACCAATTTATTTTAGTAAATTCGACAAGTTTTAAATAAAAAATGTAACATTAAAAAGGCTCATTCACTTACACAATAACCAATATAATAAATTCTTTTTTTCAAATAAATCTTTATCTTCGTTTTCATGATATGATTTTGGTTTTATTCTATTCTTATTTTTTACCAACATCTGAAAAAGATTTTTAAATTAATGATGGTGAGACAAGACTAGCTCTTTAAAAATTGTGAATACCTTTCTGTATATTGTCTCTTATTTGTTGAAATTTATCAAAATCATCTCTAGCAACGGCTCGACGTTTTATCTTGCTCTGTATATTTATTGGAGGAAGACGAGCCACTTTACGTTGTTCTACATGGGTCTGATTTACATTGGAATGGGGTTCCTTATCACGGATGCGTATAAATGGTTGTGCATAAATTAGTAGAATTAAAAATTGCACAATACAGAAGATTGATAATTGTGAGTAAAGATTCATTCTGATCTCATAAATTCAAATATAAAACATTCAGCGGTATTTATCTATAACTGATATATGACAATAATCAAAATGTCGTTGAAAAGGTTTTTAACTGATAAACAGATGGAAAAAATATTGAATCAATAACCAGGATGTCGAAAAAGATGTTATTAAATACTCATTAATAATCCATCTAGTATCTGTTAAATGGACACACAATTAGACAATTGCGACCTTTTCTTGATCGTTTTTAAGTATTTGAACTGCGATCATATTTAATACCTAAAGTTGACAGCGAGTGCATGACACGTTCCAATTGTTATGTTATAATAATAGATTTCGAAAATGCAAAAGTAGTCGCCCCACGCTTTTGTAGTAACTATCTATCCCTTGGTGTATTATCAGGTTCCTATCCTTCCAAATGCATATGCATCATCTATCCATGTATATATTTCGACGTCAATCAAAGTTAGGTCCGATCAGGTTATATGGAAATCCAATTTCATCTATATTTTTTTGATAAACTGTGGAACGATGGAGTTTACAACTTTCTTTTTCCAGTTAACTGGGGATGTCGAGCCTGTCAAAATGTTGGAACGAAATGTATTATCAAGAGACACATATCCGTAGGAAAGCAGCGAAAAGCACACTTTTACAACAGCATAACATTACAACACCGCATACACATAAAATTGGTTTCTGTATCACCTGCCTAACCTTCTATCCGACCGACCTTCCAGGTAATAGTCGTCTTACAAGATCTTATAAGATCTGATGATTTCTTATGCAATCTTGCTACAAGATGTTTTGGCAAGACCTTATAAGATCTTGTAACAAGAAGTTACATGATTTTGCAAGATTTTGCCAGTTGTTATCACAAGATCATACGATTTCTTGTTACAAGATCTTATAAGATCTTAAAAAAAGTTATGATGAATTCTTACCACATAAATTTTGGTACGATATATAGTATATATACCACAGTTCTTATGACAAACTTAGAATTTTTTTCTTTCTGCAACTTCACACATCAGTTGAGCACAAATAAAGTGCATGTACTAGATCAAACATTCATTTTTAAACTGCGCTTTTTGCTTAATACAGTTGACGACCAAATGGAAGAAAAATTGAGCTAAGGAAGCTTTCTCTGAAACAGCAATACTCCCTTCGTTATATGCGATAAAGTGAGAAACAAGAAAAGATTTTGCTTTATCGGTAGAAAAGTAGACGGATTTTATAAGTATCCAAAACTCCTTGGGTTTAGTAATTATTTTTGGTTCTAGACCAAAATAGTTTAGAAATTAAATTGAGAAATCTTTGGGATTTAGCAGTAATAATGAAAAATCCTTTTGACTTTTTAGCATTCATCGAGTCAAGAGCTAAATAATGTTTAGAGCGCATCATTCATGGTGAAATAGCAGACAAAAAACAGTCACCATTAAGGGGTTGGTTTTCAAACAGTTTAATAGTTAACTTTTCGTTATGCAGTTAGCAGACTATGACTCAGTTATTAAATGTCAATTTTCGTTGAACTGGAGAATTTCTAATGATAATAATTCCAATTTTTACCTAATTATCAATACTAGTGGATTTTGATCATATATTTTACGAAAAGAAAACACAAGCGAATAACATTTCTATGATAAATACTACAAAACGGTTTTGTGATGATTACAGTGACATAAATATTCGAGTATTCTTCGAAAGGTATTTTTGGAGAAAAGAAAACATCGTCTAAATGTATTGACGATATTGAGATATTAATAACTAGACAGTCGGTGTCAGCGTTCGAACCGGTTGGGAAACGCTAAGGCTGTCCGATCCGGCCGGTTGGAAATCACTCTCAGATCGGTGAAAAATCGGCGAAACTGGTGGATGCGATTGGTTGAATCCAGCACAAACCCGCAGAGTCGGTTTCAGATAGGTTCGATTTGCCGGGTCGATTCCAACCCTTTATCAAACAGAATCACCGACTTTTATCTACATTTGTGCTGATTACTACTTCGCAACCATAATTTGAAAGCAGTTTTTTAAGCAAAAAAGTCGGAAAAAATGCACTAAATTTTTAAATCAAGAATGACAAAAAACCAGTTGCCTGAAAAGTGCAACCGAATCAGATCGGAAAACGGGTACTGGTTTTTTGGCTTGCTTCCATAGTATCAGCCTATTCAAACAATTTTTGACATTACCATCATTTCTAACTTATGACTGACTGCAATTGGTTGAGAGACATTTTATTTATTCTGTGAAAGAAAGGCGTAAAATATTAATATTATGGTCAAAAAAATGCGTCAAAGGAGATTTTTTCAAATTTTGAACCAGTGAAATACCGGTCTCTACCAGCTCGATTGACTTTCTCAACCGATCCGACCCGAGCCGACCATTTCTAGCTCTAGTCGGTGTATACTTGAAAGTAGTGAGTGTATCAAAATAATTAAATTTTGGCTGGAACAAATGTGTTTCGTTTACATCAAGAATTTAGATTATGATTTTTATTTCTTTCAAGTATAAAAAAACCTCCTATTGCTTCCATTTCATCATCTATATCGCCACGGGAAAAAATGACGACGCATTCAATTGATCATATGCACAGGTTGTGTTGAGTTAATTTTTTTAATTCTTATTTCGTAATAAGATGAGTCGATTAGGTAATAAGAGAAAAACATTGTGTGTGATAAATAAGATCAACACGCTTGTTCACTAGATGAGAGAGAACGAGAAAGAGAGAGATTATTTGATTCTATTTTTCCTATATGAAGAGAAGAAAATATAATAAAGTTAATTCTTATCATTTTAAAAATTGTGTCAAGTTCGTAATCTATATCGCTCAAACGAAAGAAGAATGGTAAGAGAAAACACTTCGATAATTAAGTGATACATCATAAAAAACAAAAATTGTTATATTTAGTTGCAAGACATAGTGCAAAGTATTAATGATAAATATTCGAATGTGCAAAAGATGGAAGAGAGAACAGCGAAATTATTTTCAAGAATTCAAAGTGTATCCTATGCAATGAAAAAAGCAATGAAGAAAACGATAAAAAGTATGTAAAATTCTAAAAAAAAGTATATTCGGATCTTTTATCTGGTGCTTTATCTTACGAAATGTCTCTGAAAGTATTTAACTAATCTAAACAAATTGATGATTTTTAAGAACCAGTTAAAATAATACATTTCTTTGAAATTGTGTTTAGAAACGCCAAAATTATGCGGAATAGCAGTTGAAAAAAATTCTTCATCGTCAGTTTATTACTCGTATACATCAACATTATCATCAGTGACAAATGTAAGTTTTTATTGATTTTTTGCAAATTTTTTAATCTGTTTCGTACACTTAAATATTCAAAACGAGAAACAGCACTTTTTCTGTGACGTATTTGATTATGACAGTGGGTTTTTAACCAGTAGTAGAATGAGAGGTGGGCAAGTCAGAATCTTTTCAAGTCTCAAGTCAAGTCAGATTTGACTTGCCTTGTCCAGCTCTGTTTCTCGCTCTAAAAGTAATCACATAATAAATGAATCACTTATAGAAATGGAAAATGAGTATAATTAGATGTTTAATATAATTTCTTTGCATTAAAATTCGGAAAAATACATCCGTTGGAATGACTTACGAGAAAATCAAAATTACACATACAGTAAATAGATCAGAAATTTTTTTTCTAAGTCAACCTAGACTTGACTTGTCCGGCTCTATAAGTATAACTCTTTCTGAAGATAAATGCAACATTTATTAACTTCTTTTCAGGTAAATACTGATTCAATTAGTGCGATATCAAATTGCGACTCCGGTATCTCTTCATCCTTACCTCATTCACCACTGTGTCCAAGAAGATATGATGATGAATTATTACTTCCCTATGCAAATGAATCAAAAATCAATTATATGGAAAATGAACTTTTAACAAGTCGACCACAAGATGATGTTGACAATATTCAATCGATATATCAACACATCTATTCTCTATTACCTCTAGCTGAGAGTAGTAGACATGATAATAATAATTCAGATACTCTATTTTTTCATCAAGAAGACGTTACATATGCATTACATGAACAACAGGACGATGAACAATTATTTTCTAGTACTCGAAATGATGTCGAAGGTCCTCTAACATCGACAACGATACAAATATGGCATCATGTTATTCGTGCATATTCTGCAATGTTCAAACAAGATTTATCAGTTAAAAAATATGAACAGATTCAAATAATTAGAGCGACACATCCACATTGGTTATTGGTAAAAAATGAGAGAAATGAACAAGGATATATTCCAACCGATTGTCTTATTTGATTTATTTATTATATGCCATTTACATGTGATACCCTGAAAATAAATGAATTTTTTTCTGATGTCATAATCACTTAATTAGATTGTATCTTGGAGAAAAGTGTAAAGAATCCGAATTGAGAAAAGTAAAAATTTATATTACCAGTGAAGTAGTGAAACAGTATGAATAACTATCGAAAATGGGAATAGGTTAAAAGCGAGTCAATAGTTGTTAACAACGCTGTGCTCACGAGGGAACCTCACCAACTGATACCCTCTGTTTGAGCTCATACTCTGCTCATAGGTAGGACTCATAGTGTAGATAAAAACTCTAAAAGGATTCATCCCCTTGACTCTTGAAGACCTGGTTTTCT